GACCTCGTTTGTTGCTATTTTTTCATTTGTTCCTGCGATACAAAATACATTGAAAACACGGTCAGAAATTTTCTGGAACGTGACCGGGCCATAGAAGTGAGGGTGTCTCACACCTTATTAACACCAATTACTTCGTGATTGTGAACGGGGCGTTGTCCATACCCCAATCCATGGTCAAACTGATATTTCACATCCTAACCACGGCAGAAACAGCCAACATTTGCCTGCGTTAAAAATCAGACCACGCAAACCTCTCATCCCACTCGTGCTAGCTATACGAAAGATATTTAGACACTCAATTCAGATCAAAATGTGTGAACACCATCTCAGTCTGGCTCATTCTCCAATAGAAATCTTCTCATTTCGGTAATCCATTGCACATTGTGCTGTGCAGGCATGAAAAACTGAAAATGAGCTTGTTTTTAACATTAGATTTATGTTATAAATCGTGCCTGATTTGATTAAAGGAGTTTTTTGTTCAGACAGCCAAGTTATTTACCTGGTAACCGGTTATGCACCGATTACCAGCATGTTATGGGTAAATTCGGTTCATCCTAATACACGCACACCACTTTTTTGTTCTTTGGAACAAACAAAACCCCTCCAATATGTTCAGGTATCCGATGTTGTTGTGGAACCCTACAATGCAGTTCTGGCCAATCATCAACTGATCGAACTGTCCGATGAGACATTTGTGATCGATAATGAAGCGTTATACGACATTTGTTATAGAACCTTGAGACTGAGCAATCCAACTTACGGGGATTTGAATCATCTGGTCAGTGCAACCATGTCTGGTGTGACCACATGTTTCCGATTCCCCGGACAATTGAATGCGGATCTGCGCAAACTGGGCACTAATTTGATCCCGTTTCCCCGATTACACTTCTTTATCCCCGGATTCGCACCGCTCACTTCGCGACACGCCCAAGCCTACCGATCGTACACGGTACATGATCTGACACAACAAATGTTTGACGTGCGAAATCTGATGGCCGCATGTGATCCGAGACGAGGTAAATATCTCACGGTGGCAACTCTGTTTCGTGGTCGTGTCTCGATCAAGGAGGTTGATGAGGAGATGTTGAATATCCAGAACAAGAATTCCGCCCACTTTGTGGACTGGATTCCGAGTAATATCAAGACTGCAGTGTGTGATATACCGCCCCGAGGAATGCGTACCGCGGTCACATTTATCGGCAATAGTACAGCTATCCAGGAAATTTTCCGTCGAATCGGGGAGCAATATTCCGCTATGTTTCGACGTAAAGCATTTGTGCACTGGTTCACCGCGGAAGGAATGGATGAGGCCGAATTCATGGAGGCTGAATCAAATCTGAATGATCTAATCAATGAGTATCAGCAATTTCAGGACATTGTTTGAGAATGAGCTTCCGCTTATCTGGATACCTCTGAACTGCAAACACCGATGCAAGCGGGAATGGGGCATACGAGAAAGTGATCTTAATGTCTCAGTTGTATCGGTTACATGGTACCAAATTGGTTTTATTCATTTGGTCCCATTGGACCATTCCGATCGGTTTTCGAATAAAAAATCAAGAAAATACACTGTCTGGTTCAAAATGCCTTCATTCAAATATAACAATCAAAGTGAACTGTGGATGTTTTCCGGTGGACTGTGGTTTATTAGTACTAGTTGGATGAAGTACAGGATTTCTTAACGTAGTCAGAACAAGTTTTACCATTATTATTATCCCCAGATGCCTTTTTTCGGGATATTGATTGTAATCAGTTACCTGTAGAGATAGAGTGAAGCTGAGACTCGCAAATCCGAAATCCTCTGCACGGTCGGTGGTGGATGTTTGGGGTTGTGGCTAGTCACCCTTATCTCCCACCTCGAGAAATGCTCCTATACGTCTAAGCATCTCAGCTTCTGCTGAGGAAGTACTATTCCCTGTCTTTCTGTGCTGTAGGTGTTTTCCCATCAAAATGGGACGACGAAAACATGACATCTGGGGATATAACAGTCAGTAAATCACTCGGCATTTGTCTAGGGGATTTGGCCAAAACCCTGATTCCAAAGTCAACCATGAAATAACCGTACGAATCACACTCACATCTTCCTTGTTGAGGCAGTAGTCAACAGTTCGATCGGTTATGGAGATATATTGGGCACCTTGGACGTTTGAATTCGTCCAAAGGGAGTATGGTCCGGTCGACTGGACACTGGACTCCAGTGGATTACGGTTTACACACACTCCCAGGCAGCCCTGCGCGTCGGGTTTTAACTAGCTGAAGATTCCATTTATGACTTCCCCAAGGGAAATTCATTTGCTTAGGCCTGGACAGCCCGGTAGTATTCCATCCACAAGCAAATTACGAAATTTTTCTTTGTAATAAAGACCCTTGTACCGTGATTTTTTTGGCACACTGTCTGGACGCAGGTGCATACGTGCGTGAGCTCGGATTCGCTAGCACCTCAAAGTTATCTTGATAAGCAGAACTGAGAAAAACAACAAGCCCGTTTTCAATTATTCGTAATTATGCCATTACATAAAGTTAAATATGACTAAGAACAATAATAAAACGGGAACGAGAATTTCCGATCCTAAAGGTTCAACTCTGGCTCCAATCATGTGTGCTTGTTTCACACACGGATCAGGTTTTGGCTAAGATACGATGTTCGTTCTTGTCTTGTTCTTGTTGTTAATCATATTTATTGTTATGTAATGGCATGATTAGGAATAACCGAAAACGAGCTTGTTCGTCACGCTGTTGTTGTTCTTTCTGGGGCGGTGGTGGCCAAGTGGTCAGGTCACCAACTTGTGATCTGTGAATCCCGGGTTCGAACCGCTCCACCGCCACCCGTCTTCCCAGGCAGCCTTTGTATGACCGTGCCCCCCAACCTGAATGTTGTCCGTACATTTGTATATTCAATCAATATAAAGGAAGCAAAAAGACAATATTATTACATTATTACTATTTATCCAGACGTACGGCGCAAAGTCGGCTGTTAACCGGGATCCATTCGAGAAGTGAACGCTCGGCCGTGACACTTAGCGCAATCCCAACGCCAGCAACACCGCGAGCTTCGGATGCCGAATCGCCTGACACACGGAGAGTGAAGCTTGGGGATGAGGCTGGATCTGGAGAACGGAGGGAGATGACTGAAGTAGGATCTTGNAAGGTTTCAAGGGTTCTGGCTAAGGCGGCTTGTTGACCGATCTGGTAGAGTGTGCGGACATTGAGTGCGGCTAAGTGGAAAGGAGATTTTGATTTCAAAAACCTGATAGCCTCTGATTGGTTGATCTTATTAGTTGAGCGTTGAGTGATATGCGATGGGTCTCGTAAGAAGGAAGCACCTGGAAATATTCGGGATTGAGAAGAAGGACTAGACAGATGGAAAAGATGGTTTTCCAAATGGGTACCCAAGACTTTAGGGCACGGCATACTTCGGAACTGATAGGTGAAATATTTTTCGATTCCGTTTTTCATGATCGCATTGTTTCAATTGATTTTCAAATTTAATCTTGCTCGATTTCGATATGATTGATTGATCTGCAGTCGGTCAAACTGAACTACATCACACTAAATCCGACCTATTCAGCAAGCCGGTAGTGCTACACCTTAATGTCCTATTCTTATTAGTGTTTCCTGGTAAATTTATCTCACTCAGAGAGTAAAGAATAGATAAACATTGAGTAAATCGTAAAACTGAAAAATGCTGGAAATCAGTTCTATCGTCAATGGCATCTTTTTCGTGCATGGAAATGAAGACAGTTGGGCGGTGGTGGTAAGATTCCAACACAAGTCCTCCGGGGAGACAACTTGGTCAAATGATTGTTCGGCAGATTGAAGTCTCATGTTGAAATTATGAAAAGCTTAGTAGCCTCGGAGGGATTAAAAACCACGCATTTGATGACTTTCATCGCAGCCCGACCATGAGCAATGAGCACACAACTTACAAGTGATGGGCTTTGGTGATCCAGACGTACGTGACCGCAATCCATGCACGACTAGGCACAGTTTCATGTCATCCAATCACCGTTCAGGAAGCTCGACCAATGGTACACTGGGCGAACATGACATCCGGGTTAGTACATAGGATGCGTCGGCGCAAACGGCTACGTGATTGGACGGCGGTCCTTCAACCAATCATATGGCCTATTACGTTCTATAAAACATGCTGTAATTCTATCAATAAGTATAAGTATTCGCTGCTATCAATTCCTCGTGTATTTCATTGGTGTCCGCAGTTCGGGTTGGAGCCATTCCATATCTGAGCATTACAGTACGAGTTCTCGTATTCCTACATTCAGTGCTACTCCGATTATCGCATGAAGAATCTCGGAAAATAAATCTGCCTAATAATAGCACACCACATATTGACCGCATCATTTTTAGATCCTTTAAAAAGGGATGCAAATATACCATAAAAGATTATACGGTACAATTCAAGAGAATTTACGGATACCTTGATCCGCTACCTATTGGCTTTGGGGTTCAATGGTAGTCTTCAAGTGGTATGTCTTGATTAGCAGCTTTAAGATTTATCTTAGTTTCCACTAAGGAGTTTCTCGACTAATACTGTTTGTAGTAGGCGAGTTTATGGTAATTGGAGCGAAAAATCCTAATCGTTTCAGAGATGAACTTTAGTCATTGCAAATGCCATGGGAAAACTGAATTCCGACCTAAAATGCCAATCGGGATCCTCACGTATTCTCACTGATTCCGGAATACCCTCTAAACTATATCTATCAGTAAACATTGCAAGTCGATCAAACGTTACCAGGAGACTGCAATATGTTGAGTTATGATAGCTTTTATGGTTCTATGAACAATTTGTGAATCACACAGATTGGTCATTTGTGTCAAGGCGTTTCCGTTGACCAGCTGTGCTACAATTTCTCCTCTCGTCTCCGCTCTGAAAGTATTTATTTTTCTGATAATGTACACCCGGATTTCACGATTTTACGACTCAAACATTCATCCCATTAAGCTTCTTTGTTCGTTCCCGGTTGAACAGGAAAAAAAGGTCGATGGTTTGAAGTTCAGAGTACGTCCAGTCACACGATAACCCAAAAGATGACTTTTTCTTCTGTGGTCCGATCATTTTTTATACCTTTTGTCTATCTCGCATTCAAAAATTGTGTTTTGTGTACAAAAATCTTGGTTAACCGCAGACATCGTAGATTCACTTATGCTTAGGTTATAATACCTACTCCCGTAAAGATAGTGAGGTATATCATAAAAAGATTGAACGCACAGTTGTTAGCTTCCCGAAATCCCCTTGAGGGTATGGCGACTCTGACGCGGTTCCCCTTTATCGGTAGCTACATACTGTTCTTTTTTCTTTCATCTCTACATTACGTGAACCTTTTCACCGATACAATGAACGCTGTTTTCAGCTTGTGTTGTCCCCCGTGAGACTTTATTTCTTCACAAAGATCAGATAGCTTCCCTCATTTGAAGTTTCAAAGGACAATAAAAGAGGTCGTCTGTAAATCACACAATCATGCTGCGATGCATCTACTATCCTGCCGGATCTATCATTTGCTGGAAAACCACTGGGAGATAAGATCGGAAAATTATTGTATGAGAGAAATGCAGGATGTGATCTGTTAATATAAAGAATTCGGTTTCTAACTGAGGTGTGAACTGAAAATGTAGGAAGCACAGGTGTTTTGACCTGGTTGCGTCGCATCATCAGCAATGCGAATCCATCGATCCGACTGGGGATTGAACCCGGGACCTCACAGACAGAACTCAGGCATGCTACCCACTTGACCACCAGGCAGATGATCAGATATATTCTCATTTGAAATATACACGATATAGCTGTACAGTATTTGCCAGCTTTTCAGCTCACACCTCAGTTACACACCGAATTCTTCATAAAATCTTAAAATTAGTTTGGCAAGTTGTTCGCTTTATCTGTGATTAAAATAAAACTGCGAAACAAGACATGGCTGGCCTTAATGAGTTGCACGCCACGTTCATTCTCCCTGCCGCTGACACATTATTACCCTTCCCACCCCACCCTTCAGGCTCATTGGAGCTGCAGCCTGTCTCCACGGAGGAAGTCTTCAGGCTTTTCCGATCCTTAGTGGTTTATTAGCTCAGGTGAGTGAAAAATAGGCCACTTTCAATCTATTTTAGATCAAAGCTGTCAATCATCCCAGTGATCAGCTTAACTGGTTCAGAGAGCTCTTCTTTTCTAAAAGGAATCTTTCTGAGGAATGCCTCCACTGCTACTCACGGAGATGAGCAAAGCACTGTGATTTCCTTCAAATCGCAGCTATATTTGCACGGCCATTTATCCGATGTCTTCAGGTGTCCTATTTCTCTCCGTCAGCTTTGCAGGTCGTTTCGCCCACACACACAAAGCTTTCCTACCGGTGGCCCGGATGAGATGGAACAGCT